CCTTCCTTGCCTTCCTTGCCTTCCTTGCCTTCCTTGCCTTCCTTGCCTTCCTTGCCTTCCTTGCCTTCCTTGCCTTCCTTGCCTTCCTTGCCTTCCCTCCCTCAGTTTGTTTGTTTAACTTTACTTAATGACTATATGAAAGTAGTTTTGCCATTGATTGCAGATTTGGACATCTCTTCCACTACGATTCCCCATTGATCGTGAGTTCACAAAATATGTCGTACAGATGAATGCTTCTGAAAGTGAGGGTAAGTTTCTGCACCCAAACATAGAAATAGAAATTAAAAAGTATCACATAGCATCTTTGAATGAATGGAAAACTTTACATTGCTGAAACATTTGATAAATGCTGGTGAAAAAAATAGTGAAATATGATAAAAGGAGACATGAAAGTGTGAAACAGAGTGAAGCCAGTGGGGTTAAAAGAAAAGGAGAGGTTAATAAGTAAATAATTTGAGTTGAAAATACAAAGAGAAAAAAAAAAGGAAAAGGTAAAGAGATTGAGAAAAACACCACCTTCTGTAGCAATAAGCTAAGAAAAGCGTCACCTCCAGAAAAGCCAGTTCAGACACAGCAGTAAGGCATGGATGCCCACATTTCCCAAGAAAATTGTGGGTGATATCAGCTGGACCTTAATATGTAAAAAAGATCAGCAATGTCTTCTGCTTGAAGCTTAAAATGAAAAGACTTACGTTGTTAAATGATGCCATCTGACCACGTAGGATTGACACCTTTATTCTAAGAGGAATAGTGAGCTCAGGGTTAATGTGGATTTTACTGTAGATTGGCACTGTTCATTTTCTGTGTATGCCTCCGTCTTCTCATCTGCTTCCCCGTCTTCTTGCTTTGGCAAAAAGTAGAAGTGCCAAAATACGTCGAGGAAGTGATTCAAGTGACATTTTTTTGGCTTGACTACGACCGTCAATGTCTAGAAATGTTTTAAGAAGACACATATGTGTCTGTGGGCACATATGCTTGTGCACATAGCTGAGTTTCTGCACAGCCTGCCCAGAAGGTGGGTTATTCTGTGGATGTGGTGGCCTGGGCCGTGGTTTCCGGAGCCCGCCGCGCTGGGGAAGGCCCGTGCGGTCCCTGCCGTGGCAGCTGCGGTTCGGGCTGAGCGGGGCCGCGTCTCCGCTGCGGCTGCAGGATCGTGCAGCGCTGCCCGGGCAGCACCGCCGCAACCGCCCTTGTGCCGCGTGGGGTGGTGTCTGGGGCAGGCGGGGAGGCCCTCGCTGCAGCGCAGAGCTGCCCGCAGCGGTAGCGTTGCCAGCTGCTTCCGTTGCCCCCGCCACGAGCTGCTGCTCCCACGGGATGCCGAGGAGCCAGCGGGCAGGAGCACAGACGAGCCCAGGCTCTTGCAGGGTATTTATCATGAGTTAACAAACAACTCTAGATAAAATCTTTACTCCAGTGAATCTAATGGATGTTTTGTGGTGGTCGTGTTTTAAGATTCTTCCTGACAAATCCATTTCTGCCAGGCCAGAGTTCTAGGGCACAAGGTACCATGAACACCTCTCTGCTCTGTGATCCCAGGAAACCATTTTCAGGTACCCAACATACCTATCCACGCAACAAAAGTCACCAGGAGCTGGGAGTCTCTGAGAACAGATCCTTGGCCTTACTCTGTTTTACAGAGTAACTGTTTTTTTAACAGGAATGTTTAAAGAATAATGAATGTTCATAAAGTGATACTGATTACACACTGCTCTCTTGCTGCTGCTGCTGTTACTGACAGAGACTTTCTCTGTGCTCAGACATATAAAATATGATTAGAAAGGTTCCACTGACAAGCTTTATTCTCCATCCAGAACAGCTCAGATATCAGTAATTAAGTATATATATGTATCATATATGTTTGCTGTGGATACAAATGTATATAAAACCAATGCATTAGAAGCCTTGCCTAGACTGTAATGCAACATTTATTTTTAAAGTCTTTTTAAAACATATTCATATTGAGCATTCTAATGCACTCTAATGCAAAGGAATCAATAGCCTTTACACCACAGATAGTTTATTGTACACAGCAAATGAATAATACAAAATTCAGTGCACTTAACAGCCCAATATTAGACTTCATAATTTGTATAAATCAGAATGCTTTTTGCATTTCCTGAAACACAGTACCACAAAGTGTACAGACAGAAAACTACTGTTTATTCTCCAGCCAATTAATCTTTTTTTCTAAATAAAAATATTTGCAATCAATTTCCATCATTGTATAGATGAAACATTAGACATAAGCTTGAACTCCTGAAAATTCTAGAAATACTAAACATAAACTAAGTTCCTGAATTTATTATTAGTATATAAAGTAATTGTTCATATTGTAAAACTGAATTACAGGACTTTCACTGTTCATTATTTACAGGTAAAGTTACTCCAGAATACATTTGATATTGCTGCTCATGATGACAATTAGTGTGTATTATAATAATAGCTGTAGTCTTAATAACAAATCTCAGACAAAAGTGGTTCCTGTAGCTGCACATTTTACCACACTGCCTTCTTTTAGGCTCTTTTAGGCTCAGCTGTGTTTTTATTACACACTAACCTGCTTTTCCTGTTGTTATTACTGTATGTTATTGCCATCACAGACACTGACTCAGAAATTTAAAAGAAATATCTTTACACTGAGTTGTACACAGCCCGCTTTACTGTTTCTCAGATAGTTTGAGTCCATATTTGGCTAACAGGAAAATGAGATCTGTCCTTGCTTCACCAGATCAGTTGTCCATATTTTATTTTTTTGAGTCAGTCTAATGTGCAGTATCAGGTAGCTTTTATTTCGGTGCTTTAGAGTAAACACAGTGTTTTTCCAGATTGAGGTGGTGAGAATGAAAGCAGGACTGGTTCAGCTGATTTCAAACCTGGTCTATTTTAGTTTAAGCATCATTTCCAAACATATATTGAAAAAAAAAAATGAAGCAGAGAATGTTACAATGTAGTGTTATGTATGTTATAGGATTAAGACAAACTGTTTAATTGATAGCACCTTTTAATCTGAGCTACTGGTTCATATTAACATTTTAGAAATCTGTCTGTAATAGCACATGCTGCCTGTTTGACTGAAGTGGGCTAAAACAAATTGGAAATAGCTTGTCATAAAAAACAGTATTTTGACATGCATAGCTTTGTTTTTATGATATGTCTGAATATTTTAACTGCACCTTAGTGAAGGACTTGTCTAAATTTCATCTTTTCCAGCAGGGATTTGGCAACACTGAATGCTAAGCATAAACTTTGGAAGCAGCGGAGAAGGAATTCCTACTTCACCCAGAGGGATGCTATCTTGGATGAGAAGCAGAATTAGATTCCCTCCAGGTCTGCATGTTACAGCAGGACAAAATAGAAAGTTTGCCGTGTTTGCATTTGAAATGTTATCTTTAAAAGATGCTTTATGATAATCCTTCTAAACACTGCATTGCTTATGCTTCAGACTAGCATATAAAAGCAGTTTTCTGGACTTGGGTGGAAAAAATCTGGACTGGCAGATAAAGAGTAAAGCAAGTCCACTTTCTTCCCCAGTGCTTCATGATGCATTTGTCATTTTAAAATCATACATTCAAGAGATCCCAAATCAATTTCATCTTTATTTATGGGATTTTAACTTGGCTCTAGCACGAAAGCCATTATTTTGTGCTTCTGTCTGCCCAGAAGGAAAACAAATTAACATTCTTGAGGCGGAAGCTGGAAGTGGATGTTTGTTTGTCCTGTTATCTCATATCCTCCTTTTCTGGGTCACAGAGAACAAGGCACGGGCTCGCCTGGAAGCGTTTCAGGGCTGCAGTAGGTATTTCGGGTGGAGGTGGAGTTTGCTTCACATGCAACAAAAGCTGTGCAATCCATGACAGCTGATTTATTGGTGTGTAACCTTTCTGTTATCCTTTATAAGATGAGCAGCTGTACATTCCGTCCGTGGGTATCATCTGGCGTGTAGGTGGCCCTGTCCAGCGCGGTGCCTGTGAAATGGCACCGTGTTTTAAACAGAGGGGTACAAATCCTCCAGCCATCCCTCTCCTCTCCGCCGAGGGAAGGCGCTGCCCTGCTCGGCGCCAGGCCCCGCGGGCTCGAGCTCTCGCGGGGCCGCGGGACGGGGCATTTCGTGTCACTGAGTGCCCGGGCGGCCCCGCCGCGCCGCCATGAGCGGGGCC